CCACAGCAGAGAGCTGGCCTGGAAGAGGGGCAACCGGGACATAATCCAGCGCCCCAACCGGGACTAGAACCCAGTGTGCCGGCGCCGCTAGATTATTTTTAAATAATTTATTTACTTGAAATTATTATTTTTAAAATTATTTTTAAAAAATTTATTTTAAAAAATTTATTTACTTGAAAGTCAGGGAGAAGATTATCTTTCATTTGCTCATTTCCCCAAAATGCTGGCAACAGCCAAGTCTGGGCCAGGTTGAAACCAGGAGCCTGAACTCCCATCAGGTTCTCCCACATAGTTGGCATGGGTCCAAGTACTTGGGCCATCATCGGATGCCTTTCCAGCTGGATTTGGAAGCAGAGCAGCCTGGACTCAAACTGGTGCTCTGATCTTGAGTGATGAGGTCGCAAGTAGGGGCTTAACTCACTGCAGTGCAAGCCAGCTCTGTGAACATAGTTTTAAATGATGACTCGCATGAGTGCAATGTAAGCATAAAAAGAGAACCTAGAAATAGATACAAATATAAATGCTCAATTAATTTTCAACACAGTTGCCAGTGTAATTCAATTGGGAAAGAAATCTGTAATTTTTAAAAGATTTATTTATTTATTTATTTGAAAAGTAGAATGATACAGAGATTTTTCATCTGCTGGTTCACTTCCCAAATTGGCCACCACGGCTGGGGCTGGACCAGAACAAGCTAGAAGGCAGGAACTCCCATTTAGGTCTCCCACAAGGTACTTGAGTGATCATATGCTGCTTCCCAGGCACATTAGCAGGAAACTGGTCCTGTTGTCTGTCTGCTTACATAAATGTTTCTGCCTTTTTTTGGGGGGGGTTAGTTACTCGTTTTACTTGGAGAATTAGTTTAAAGTTGGGGCTTAGGATCAGTTGTGTTTCTTGAAACAGAATCTGCTTGTTTGCAATGTTAAAGATTTGGCACTTGGGTTAATTTCCACTAAATTCACACTTCAGTGTTCCTTTGGACTTTCAAGAAATGAAATGTGAATTTGTGTTCCAGATTTTCCCAAGAGCTTCCTTTTGTTTAGAATTTTCAGGGACTTTCTCCCTTCTTTCTGCTAAACACAAAGGGAACTTGTAGTCTTCCAAGGGTAGGAGGTGTGGGTAGCTGGGGTTATTTTAGGCTTTAATTAATAGTAATAGACTAATGCAGTGAAGTTATCCTTTTGACTTTCCTGGTAGGCTAACCCCAGGATCTGTTCTTCCGTGCCACCCCCATGAGGCTGACAAAACCAAAGTCAGTTTTAGACTTTTTGGACTGGTTATTCTTTTATAATATTGTCAGCTTTTAGGTGTTTTGTTGTTGTTGTTTGTTTGTTTGTTTTTTGTTTTTGTTTTTTTTTTGACAGAGTGGACAGTGAGAGAGAGAGACAGAGAGAAAGGTCTTCCTTTTGCCGTTGGTTCACCGCGGCTGGCGCGCTGCAGCCGGTGCACCACGCTGATCCGAAGGCAGGAGCCAGGTGTTTCTCCTGGTCTCCCATGCGGGTGCAGGGCCCAAGGACTTGGGCCACAGCAGAGAACTGGACAGAAAGAGGAGCGACTGGGACAGAATCTGGCGCCCTGACCGGGACTAGAACCCGGGGTGCCGACACCGCAGGGGGAGGATTAGCCTAGTGAGCCGTGGCGCCAGCCAACAATTATGCTTTAAAATATTTTGCCCATCACAAAGAAATGCTAATTATCCTGATCTGATCATGCACATCACATACTTATATTGGATTATTACACTATGCTCTATAAATATATGCAGTTCTTTAAGATTTATTTATTTCAAAGGCAGGTAACAGAGAAGAAGAGTCTGAGAGAAGAGAGAGAGAGAGAGACCTTCTATCTGCTGGTACACTACCCAAATGCCTGCAATAGCCAGATTTGGGCCAGGCTGAAGCCAAAAACCAAAAATTCTTCCTGGTCTCCCATATGGGTGGCAGAACTGCCTTCCCAGGCACAAAGTGGTACCCATATGGAATGCTAGTGTGGCAGGGAGAGGCTTAACCTGCTATGCCACAGTACCAGCCCCCTGTTTCATTCTTAGGTGTTTTATTTATTTATTTATTTGCAAGGCAGAGTGACAGATCTTTTAGCTGTGGTTTGCTCCCCAAATCCTAACATCTATGGGTAGGCCCGACCAAAACTAGGAGCCAGGAGCCCTATCTGGGTCTCATACCTGCACAGCAGGGACCCAGGTGTTTAGGCTGTCACTCGCTGCCTTGGAGACGCATTAGCAGGAAGCTGGATCAGAAGTGCAGGGCACCTGAGACTCAAACCTGCACTGTAATATGGAATGTGATATCTTAAGCAACAGTTAAACTTGTGCGTTTGATCATTTTTATTGGCTTTCTCTTGTTTAGTGACTCACTATGACTTAATTGTTAGCCAGTTTGGACATTAATCTTGTTAACAAATGTTCTTGTTAATCATAGGTTACTTGGGAACAGTGATTTAAAATTTGCCCTTGCTAATTGTTTGCTAATCTTTTATTTATCTGTTGAAAGCTCTGTGATAGTTCTTTCAGAATCTTTCCTCTTTTCTCTAAAATCTGCTGCTAATGTTCTGCCCTATTCTCCATAGCAGCCATCTGTGAAAGCCACTTTGCTACGTTTAACACTGCCCCCCCCCCATCATCTGTGGTTTGTTTACAGCGGTTAATGTGTATTTCTCTTCCATGCCATGTCTATAGCTGTGAATTAGCTATTGCAGTCTTCCTCCACATGTCTCTTCCAGCTAGGGCCCAGGCTGAAGGTGTCACCCTTTGTTGGGACGTGACATCCTTGTGGCAGAGATTAACGAATGAGAGAGCTGTTCTGAACCCATAATGCTTCTTGAAACTTCTGTGCAGAGGTGATATGTGTCATTCCTGTCTATTTTATTGGCAAAACATACTTCATGATCAAGGCCAGTTTGAATTGCATCAGAATGTATGCTCCTCCCATAGAAGACACCAGGAGTTACAGGACTAACCAGATTTGCTGAACACAGCAGTAATTACCCATTTTGTTTTCTTTCTTTTTAAGATTTTGTTTATTTGAGAGATAGTGTTACAGACAAAGAGGGAGAGACAAAGAGAAAGGTCTTTCATCCGCTGATTCACTCCCCAAATGGCCGCAGTAGTCAGAGCTAGGCTGATCTGAAGCCAGGAGCCAGGAGCTTGTTCCGGGTCTTCCACATGGGTGTAGGGGCCTAAGCACTTGGGTCATCTTCTGCTGCTTTCCCAGACCTTAGAAAAGAGCTGGGTCAGAAGAGGAGCAGCTGAGACTCAAGCTAGTGCCCATGTGAGATGCCAGCACCACAGGCAGAAGCTTAGCCTACTACTACAGCATTGGCCCCAGTAACTACTCATTTCTGTCTTGAAGCCTCTTCGTTAAGCTTTTCTTTATGCCTTAAATATAATTCTTCCTTTCAGAAAAATGAATCTTTTTATCAGTTATTCAGTTATTCCCATTGTTTATCTTCATTTACTATTGATTCTTATCAGTTCTGTGCCTACAGTTTTTATGACTGCATTTTCTTGAGTTCTAATAATAAGTTATTTATTTAGCAAATTGTGTTAAATCCTTTCCTTTAATGAAGATAAGAAGATTATATTAGCCTTTAACCTTTTAATCTCAGTTCTCACTGTTGCTCTGAAACTCTGTGTACCTTCATTTCTTTCTCTCTGTGACTTCCGTTGCAGTTCCCCCCTAACCCCTAGCTGCTTTTTCAGAGTGTTCCCCTAGATCCTGAGGTATATAATTCACTGGGTTTTCCCTACTGCTAGAGTTGTTCTCATTCCCTTCTATACTGTTCTCTTTAGGATATTCCTCTTCCTTGTCCTACCACTGAAGTGTGCTCAGAGCTTCTGGCTCTGTCTTCAGCTCTCTTCATTTCTTGTCTTGTGCCCTTTTCATTGGAGCTCTCATTTGTGTGACTTTCCACAGCTGATTTACAAATCTGTATGTTTGCTTACAATCATTATTCTCAGTTGTACCCCATCATTTCTACTTGTAGGTATTTTTATTTTTTTATTTATTTTTTATTTTTTATTTTTTGACAGGCAGAGTGGACAGTGAGAGAGAGAGACAGAGAGAAAGGTCTTCCTTTGCCGTTGGTTCACCCTCCAATGGCCGCCGCGGCCGGCGCACTGTGGCCGGCACACCGCGCTGATCCGATGGCAGGAGCCAGGAGCCAGGTGCTTTTCCTGGTCTCCCATGGGGTGCAGGGCCCAAGCACCTGGGCCATCCTGCACTGCACTCCCTGGCCACAGCAGAGAGCTGGCCTGGAAGAGGGGCAACCGGGACTAGAACCCGGTGTGCCGGCGCCGCTAGGCGGAGGATTAGCCTAGTGAGCCGCAGCGCCGGCCCGGTATTTTTATTTGATTGTCTCAGATCACCTTAAAGATGGCATGCCCAAAACCAAATTAGTCATTTTTCTATTAGAGCTGGCTCCTGTTTCTGTTGATAGTCACCAAGTTTTTTGAAGGAATGGAAAGAGGAGCTCTTATTTAGCATCTACTACACACTAAACACTGCTTTTGATTATATAACCTCAACATCTAGCTTAAATTTTACCTCCAGAGATTCCTTCCAACTGTCAGAATGAATCCTCTATGAGCCCTTCCTCTTAATCCACTCAGAGTACATTTGTATTGGTTCACTAGACCTTCAGCACAGGAATCTCCTGTAATTCATACTTTTAGCCTGTAGGCCCCCCAAGTTAAGGATTTTATATTTCACTTTCTCAGCACAGTACAGTTTAAGATTTACTAAGAATTAGAAACAATGTTGCAGATGAGAGCAAGGATCTCAGCCTTGACCAAAGCTAAGTAATAGATAAGCCGTGCTCTTGATCCTTGAACCGACTTATACATTAAGATACCTGTTGAACAGATGTTACCTTGTAACAGAATCTCTTTATCAATAATATATTTTTAATGTAGCTGTTTTATATTGCTTTGATAGAGGATGTTTATAGAAAATAATGTACTTATATTGGCTTCTCTTCTGCATTAGGTGCACCAGGAATAATGTCTTCACCATATGCAGGGGCTGCTGGATTTGCCCCAGCCATTGGATTTCCTCAAGCTACAGGTAATTTTTAAAGAACTAATTTCTTACAAAGTTCTGTATTTTCTAGGAAATTGTACAGATGAAAAGTGTTACATGTGAGGCATCACAATAAAGGCATTATATGTATCGACCATACAAACTTGTTTGGTGCACAGCTTCCATATGGTTCCAAATAGCACTCTGGTTTCTGATTTTAAGTCCAGTTAATTCCATTATGTGATCTGTGTCACTTACATATATTATATATTGCTATAGAGATCTGTAATTTGATTATATTAAATAACTAGATTTGCCTTTTCAGTTATATGAAATGTATGAGTTGCTTCTGTCTTTGCTTGCCATTTATATTTTGAGTATATTATGTTATTTGTTCTTCAATGCCTTTTTGATATTCAAATATACAGGGTGTAATTGATATGATAAATATTTGAATTCATAAATGTTTACTATTTACTATTCAGCTTCTTTAGAAAATCTTTTGTCATTAGTGCTGTTTATTTCAAAGGTTATCTACTGGAAAAAAAAAAAAGATTTATTTATTTGAGAGGCAGAGTTACAGACAGAAAGAGGGAAAGCCAGGGAGAGAGGTCTTCCATCTGTTGGTATATTCCCCAGATGGCCACAGCTGCTGGAACTGGGCCAGTCAGGAGCCAGGAGCTTCTTCCAGGTTTCCCATATGGGTGCAGGGGCCCAAGCACTTGAACCTTCCCTCCCTCCCTCCCTTCCTTCCTTCCTTCCTTCCTTCCCTCCTTCCTTCCTCCTTCCTCCTTCCTTCTTTTTTTTTTTTTTAAGATTTATTTATTTATTTGAAAGTCAGAGTTACACAGAGAGAGAGAGAGAGAAATAGAGAGAGAGAGAAGTCTTCCATCTACTCGTTCACTCGCAAGTTGTCCGCAATGGCTGGAGCTGTGCCGATCTGGAGCTAGGAACCTCTTCTGGGCCTCCCATGTGGGTTCAGGGGCACAAGGACTTGGGCCCTCTTCTGCTGCTTTCCCAGGCCATAACAGAGAGCTGGATTGGAAGTAGAGCAGCCAGGACACGAACCAGCGCCCATATAGGTTGCCAGCACTGCAGACAGTGGGTAAGGATTTACCCGCTACGCCACAGGCCAGCCATGAGCCATATTCTGCTTTCCCAGGCGCGTTAGCAGGGAGCTGGATTGGAAGTGGAGCAGCAGGAACATGAACTGGTACCCATATAGGAAGCTGGCGTCCTAGCTGGCAGCTTTCCCACTGTGCCACAGCACTGGCCCCAAGTTTTAATGTTTTGGTAGTTTTAATTACATCTTGACACATGTTTAATTAAATTCATATTATGTTTGTTCTGTTAAAAGCATCATTTTTATTTACTTGACATTCTCCAGAGTTTAATTGGTAGATATTTGGAAGTAGTGATACACCTTTTTTCTCATTTCAAGTATTTCTTTTAGACACACTCTACGTACAGAAACATGACAACAGATATTAAGAAAGATATAAAGCTGAGTAAAGATTGTTTCTGACTTGCAAGGTCTAGTGGAGGCTGCACATACACATCAATTCTCATGACAGTGTGACCAACGTGTGCTTTTAACTGATATATGATAGACCTACAGACAGCAAAATGTTCAGGGTTGGATTGGCTTTGGAGGAGGGTGGTGTCGAGGACTGCTGGATATGGATTTCATGGAGAATTACTCCATTTGAGAAAGTGTTCTGCACAGTTTCAAAATTCAGCAGTATGGATGACAGTAGTAATGTCCTTAGATGGTCAAGCAGAATACGCTAGATGTGAAGTATATTGTAATTTGTAATTTCATTATACATGTTAAAGTGATAAAATTGTCTAGTATAGAGTTTTGAACTTCAAAGAATAACTAAAAGAATCAGTATATTTTACATGAACTGGAGGCTGTACCTTAGATAATTTTTAAGCTGAGAACACAGACAGTGAGACTTCCTGGGAAAGTATGCTGTTTCTAGTATAGTGTCAGTATTTCAGTGTTATACTGTTTTCAGTAATTTCATAATATCTAGGAGAGTAGAGTGCTCTGGAAATCTATGCTACAAGAGAATATTTAATTTTATAGATCTATCATTGCTTTACAAGGTCACAAGATGTTTTTCCCAAAGAGCATGTCAGTTAACGCCTCCTAGCATACATGTTTGTAAATTCTGCTAAAGGACTTTTAAAAAATATATATCTGCTGTCGTGGTAGAAGTCTGTGAAAATTACATCCGCTTGATGGAAAGGTGCTAGAATATATCTATTTTAAGAAACAGAGAAATAGCGCTTCGAGTTGATAGACCCCTTGAAAAGCCTAATGGCTTTTTAAAACCAGTGAGTTCAGTTACTCTGCAAAGTATGGTATGAATAATAGAGTACTGAGTATGACAGTGTCAGCAAATAAGGAATGAGGCTTCCAGACAGACTTTGTAGGGTAGAAAACCAACCTTCAATATCCTTATAGTAGCCTTGACAGATTTTCTTGTATTTCTGCTCTTTTTTTCAATTATGTACTTAAGTTATATGAAGTTTAGAGTTCTCCAGGTGACTGGAATATGAAATGCTTTTGATTGTTTTCAAAGGTCTGTCGGTCCCGGCTGTTCCTGGAGCTCTTGGCCCTCTGGCAATCACCTCCTCTGCTGTCACTGGAAGGATGGCCATTCCCGGGGGCAGTGGGGTACCAGGGAATTCCGTTCTGCTTGTCACCAATCTCAATCCCGATGTGAGTTGGGAAGTATATGTAAATGGGCTTTCAGGAGGGGTGTACGGTCGTTTCTGATCTAGGTTGTATTCAAGTAAATGCTTAAGTTTGTCTTAAGAATTTTATAAAAATCCATCATTAGTTTATATAAAAGAAGTGTAAAGCAATGCTTTTAACAAAATCACCTGTCATCATTACTTTTCAAATAAGTGTGTTTTCAATTATTTAATTAGTCAGATACTTATATTTTCTGTTTATTATCCTTTTCAAACAGCTCATCACACCACATGGACTTTTCATCCTATTTGGTAAGTTAATTTTGCTGTTTTTACTGTTATCTGTACATAGGAATTGAACACATTTCATTCATTTTAGTAATCTTTATTGACTACTTATATATGCCAAGTAGTGTGTTGGACACTTGAGGTTACAGCAGTAAGACTTAATAGTTACCATGACTCAATAGGGGAAAGTTTTTGTAACAGAGGAAATAGAGATGATAACAACATGAGGCAGGGACCCTAATCTAGCTGAGAGAATCAGTAGAAGCGATAGTTCTGCTGGCATATAAGAAGTAAGAGTCAGAGGGAGTGTGAGGGGTCTGAGTGTCTTTTTGGCAGATACTAGCAATAAGAGAGGGTGGGGAGAACCTACAACCTGGAAGTAAAGGCAGACCACTGGAGAGAGAGACGTATTGAAGCTGGACAGGTGGCATTTTTAACATACATTCCTATTTATTTATGGTGATTTATGTTTTATTTTAGTAAAAAAGCTTTGTTTTTCACTTTGATTCAGTATTCCAAAAGCTGATTATTTCAGTACTTGCTCTTAATGTTTGTTGTAAATGAAGAAGATACATCAAAATGATTGGAATCTAAATGGAAGTGTTTCATTGTTGCTGTACTTTTAATTGTTACACTAATTTTCCAATCCACAATTTCATTGTACTTTAGAAAAGTTCCATTTTTCTATTAAATCAGTGGGTCTTGAAAACTTGTATTTAAATATTTTAATATTTTGAAACTCACTACTGCTATTCATTTGAAAGGTTATCTTTAAAAGAAACTTGATCCTACATTTTCGGAGTGGTGACAAGTATTTTTTTTATGACAGTATTGTTGAAGTATATTTTACAACCATGCAGTTCACCTGCTTCAGGAATGCAGCTCAGTGATTTTCATAATTTACAGAGCTGTGTGCAGCCATCACTACACTCCTGTTTTAGAAGATTTCTATCATTCCAAATAAATTTTTCATGCTCACTTGTAGTCACTATGGAAGCTTTTATCAGTGACACATTTGAATGATTTTAAGTAATTGTGTATTAATAATACATTTTCATATGACTCTTTTCTAGCCAAAGCATGTTTTTTTTCCTAAAAGTAGTTAATTTCTCACTTATTTAAAAAATATCATCCATACCTTGAAGAACAAATTATCTGTGTTTACTTTCTAAAGGATATCTACTTGAGCCAGTTGTCATTTCTGAGAAGGGCAGAAATAGCATTCGTCTTTCAGTTCAGTTGCCCTTGAGTGTGTAGGCAGTGCTGATTTGTGTGCCTTGTCGGGGAAGGTACCACTTTTCCAGAGTTAGTGAACACTGGAAGTAGAGAGACGAAAGGGTGGGGGAGGTGAATCATTTAAGACGACCTAAGTTTAATGTTTATAGACATCCTAGTGAAAAAAGATGAGTGGATAAATAGGATCTGAAACTTGGAAGAGATAAAAATTTGGGTGGATATGTATGAAATTGCTAAGGGAGAATGTATAGTATGCAAAAATAATCCTTAAATAAAATTAATTTAACATACAGTTAGGCATTAAAAAGGGTTGTTTTGTTTTGTTTTTATTAGGCGTGTATGGTGACGTACATCGAGTGAAGATTATGTTTAATAAGAAAGAAAATGCCTTGGTTCAAATGGCAGATGCAAATCAAGCTCAACTAGGTATTAATAATTAATTAGAATAATAATAACCTGCCCCCTTTTTATGTGAATTTACCTTCAAAGTAAGCAAATGGCATAGCTAATGGGCATATAATTGAGTGCCTCCTTGTGATAATGTCTTCATTACTGTCTATAATTGTATTTTAAAATGTCAAAAAAAATTTCAGTTCCCTTCAGTTTGTCCACTTGAATATGTTGTTATTGTCTAGACTTTTTAAAGATTTATTTATTTGAAAGGAAGAGTTACAGAGAGAGGAAGAGAGATCTTCCAGGGGCTAGCGCTGAGGCATAGTGTGTAAAGCCGCTGCCTACAGTGCCAGCATCCCATATGGGTGTGGATTCGAGTCCTGACTGCTCCACTTCTAATGCAGCTCTGTGCTGTGGCCTGGGAAAGAGATAGAAGATGGCCCAATTCTTTGTGACCCTGCACCTGTGTGGGAGACCTAGAAGAGGCTCCTGGCTCCTGGCTTCTCTCTCTCTCTCTCCCTCTCTCTCTCTCTCTCTCGCCCCCCTACCTCTCTCCCCCTCTCTCCCCCTCTCTCCCTCTCTCTCCCTCCCTCCCTCCTTCTATTCATCCCTCCCTCTCTCCCTACCTCCTCTGACTTTCAAATAAATACATAGATCTTTAAAAAAAAAAAAAAGAGAGAGAGCTCTTCCATCAGTTGGTTCACTCCCCAGATGGCTGCAACCGCCAGATGGCTGAGTCAGGCCAGAGCTAGGAGCTTCTTCCTGGTCTCCCTCATGGGTGCAGGGGCCCAAGCACTTAGGCCATCTTCTACTGTTTTCCCAGGCCATTAGCAGGGAACTGGACTGGAAGTGGAACAGCAGGGACTGAAACTGGTGTCCACGGGGGTGCCATGATGTTTAGAGCTTTGACTCTAGGATTTTTCTACTAAGTGTAAACTATCACTCATGACTTATTTTGTTTCATTTTATTTGTTTCTTTTCCTTACAAATTCAGTTTTCTAGGACTGCTGTGGGGTAAAAATTTGGGCAAACTTCCTAATAATAGTTCAAGAAAGTGTCATTCAACAGCCTCACTGTTAAAGGGGGCTATTAAAATATTCCTATTTAGCATGAGAGACTCAAATGGAGTTTCTGTCTCTTAGCTTCAGCCAGGTCCAGCCCCTGACAGTTGTAGCCAGTTGAATAGTGAACCGATGGATGAAAGAACTCTTTGTCCCTCTCTCTCCTCCTCTGTCACTTTGCCCTTCAACTAAATAAAATGTCTTTTAAAATGTTACATTTAGATTTCTTAGAAAAATACTTTGAGATAAAACAAATATATTTGATAACCATTGCATGAGCCCCCATAATATTCTAGGCATTCTAGAACTTCTTAGCCTCTCCTCAGAAGATATTTACTTTTGGCTTCCTTAGTTAGTTTTTGTTGTTGTTTTTTTTAAAGTGCTTTCATTATAATAAAATAGTCATTTAATACATTTTCCCTAAGTGCTTTTGAACTTAAAAACATTTAACTCTCATGCAGACAATACAATTTTAAATGACTAAATAAAAATGATTTGTGGTAATCTAGATAGATATTCCTGGGAATCTATCTTAATACCCAAACTTTCCTTATTTTCTTCCTGTACACCAGCAATGAACCATCTGAGTGGTCAGAGACTTTATGGAAAAGTGCTTCGTGCTACATTGTCTAAACATCAGGCAGTTCAGCTTCCTCGAGAGGGGCAAGAAGACCAAGGCCTGACTAAGGATTTCAGCAATAGTCCCTTGCATCGCTTTAAAAAGCCTGGTTCTAAAAACTTCCAGAATATCTTTCCACCATCAGCCACACTGCATCTTTCTAACATTCCGTATGTACCTAGTAAACTATTAATTCTTTTAGATGATTGATAACCTGCAGTGTATGGTTTGGAAGAGGTTACAACTCTAAAAGTATTCTAACTTAGTGGTTGTTCTAGTCACCAATTTCTTGTAACATTAAATATTTGCTATCATGCCTTAAAATAATTTTGTCATTCATGCACCCCACAAATGAAAGATACCACTGATTTAAAATTTTCTTTCAAATAGAGAATTTGAAGACAGTTATCTTTTATTTACAAAAGAGCATATTAATAATAAGTGTATGTATCTAAAAATTTGATAAGAATGAATTCTATGCTTTTTATCTGTAAGTGGTAAAGCCTAATACTAATAATGTTCATTTCTTAAAAGCTGAAAGTCATTTTTCTGTGACAACTCTGTTGGCCTCTGTTCACCAGTGTTATATTGGATGTGTTCATTAATTATCATTTAAACCAGTAATTGATGAAATACAATCCGTGGTGGTTTTATATGGTCTCTGAGCTAAGAATTTTTATGTTGTAAAATAATTGGAGGGAAAAGCACAAGAAAAACATTTTGTGATTTGGAGAAGCTATTTAAAATTCAAGTTTCACCTTCCATAAATTTCATGTAACAGAGCTACACTCATTCATTTACATATTATCTGGCTACTTCTGAGCCACAACAGCAAAACTGAATAGTTGCAACAGAGAGGATGTGGTTCACAAAATTTAAGATATTTACTATGTAGCTCTTGAGAGATCCCTGTTTTAAATCTTGAAATACTTGTTCTACCGGAATGGCGTCTTGTGTAATTTAGACAAATATATGTAAGGGAATAAGCTTTGGAAAGGCAGGATGAAAGCTTTGGATAGTGTATGTGAGTGCATAAAATTTAAAAGACCAAGGAGGTTGGACAGAGGTAAAATTCTGGAAGATTATTTATTGAGAATGAGAACAGGAGCTGATTAGAAAGGAAACTAATTCCAAATCTGTTGAATACCAAGTGTCCCTGCTGATCTCTAGCATTTAGGTCATGTGAAAAACCTTTCAGCTGGATTGGGCAATGAATTAAACCCTATGCTACTTAGGAAAGCAAAGGAATTCACTCAAGAAAAAAATATAGGTTATGTGGGTCTAGAAATTTAGCAGCTCATCACTGGAATAAGGTAAATGGGCAACAATTAGATACTGTTCCATGCGCCTGCCATTAATAACATCTTAATGGAACACATTATATAATAGGAGTTGTTTGCCAGTTGTAACCTACATAGGATGTGCAAGTAGAAGAGGAAAGAACATCATTTAAAAAAAAAAAAACTTATTTATTCATTTGAAAGGCAGAGGTTCACAAAGAGAAGAGATCTTTTGTCTACTGGTGGCTTAACCTGTGCCGCAGTGCTGGCCCATAGCAATTTTTTTAAAAGAAATTATTTATTTTATCTGAAGGGCCGGCTAAAAGACCAACACAGAGAGAGATCTCACATCTGCTGGTTTACTCCCCAAATACCCATAGTAGTTGGCTGGGTCAGGCCAAAGCCAGGAGCCAGGAGCCAGGAACTCAGTCAAGGTCTCCCTAATAGGGAGAGAGAGAGTTAGGTCAGAAACCCAACTACTTGAGCAGTCATTGTTGCCTTCCGGGATGTGCATTATTAGGAAGCTGAAACCAAGGGCAGAGCCAGGACTCAAACCAGTATGGGATCTGTGCATCCCAAACAGCACCTGTGCCATGTCCCTACCTGCCCAATAAAAATTTTTCCCCAAGATGCACATAACATAAATTTAATCATTTTAAAAGCACTTGTAACTGTGCAATGCAATATAAATTTACATGATGCTCGTTTACATTATTGTACAATCATTGCCTTTATCCATCTGGAAAACTTTTCATCATCTCAAACTGAAACTAGTGATCAAGTTCTCCCTAACTTCTAGCCCCTAGTAACCACTATTCCATGTCCTGTCATTTTTAATTTATCCACAGTAATCTTTGAAGTCAGGTCATTTTATTAATGAAAGAGTCAGGAAAGTAACTTACTTAAAGTGATATACCATTAAATAAGAAATAGAATATGAACTTCAGTCATGGCAGCTCACCCCAAAGCTTAGCAGTGTAACACAGAGGGCTTAATGCTCATTATCTCTTTCTTTTAGTGAATCAGGAGTCCATAGGTGGCTTCCCTGGTTGGAAGCTGAGAGCCTTTGCCAAAGGTCCAATCAAAATGCTGGACCAAGGGTATGATCATGTGAAGACAGATAACATCATTTCTTCCTTATCCTAAGCGTTGCAGAGCACTCTCTATTCAGTGTGAGGGGGGACTACCCAAGAACATGAATACTGGGCAGCGAGAGTAATTGTGGAACCTTCTTAGAGTCTTGCTACCATATATACTCATTCAAAAGTACCCTGAAAGCAACTGAAAATTTAGAGCTCTAGGCTAGAGCAGATAGGTCAGGACTAGGGAAGTAACTTTGGAAGTACCAGAGTTAATTAGTGAAGCCAGTAGTATGTTAATAATCACTTTGAGATAATAAAATGTTGACATCTATTTTGTCCTTTATATTCTTGCCCATGTTTACTGCAAGGATTGAGACAAAAGTTCCATTGTTTGGAGACATGTATGTGTTGATCTGGAATATCTTTCATGGCATTTCTATACCATGTCTTCATTATGTGGTATTAATGATTCTGTTTGAAATGTTAAGTACTCCAGAAGTTTGATGATTGTTCATCTTTGCTTCATTTGAGAATTGGAGTTAACATTCTTGATTCTTGTGGTGTTTTCACAGGCCTTCTGTTACAGTGGATGATCTGAAGAACCTGTTCATAGAAGCTGGATGTTCAGTGAAGGCTTTTAAATTCTTTCAGTAAGTCATTGCTTTCAAGAAATACATTAACAGTGTTTAATATGGTATGCAGATTTTTAGTGAATGGAGTCTTCTGATAGGGGAGGAAGATTTGCAAGCAAAACTAATTGTAAATACTTCTTACACCATTTTCAGGAAAGATCGCAAAATGGCACTCATTCAGTTGGGATCTGTGGAAGAAGCAATCCAGGCCCTCATTGAACTTCATAACCATGACCTTGGAGAAAATCACCACCTCAGAGTTTCCTTCTCAAAATCTACAATCTGACCTTCCTGTGAATTTTCCCCTAAAACTGGACCATAACTTCAGTAAAACCTTCAGACTTAGATGGAAGCAGCTCAAGACCAATTCTGCCTCTTTCACTAAATAACTTTCTGAATTTGTTACTCAAGTATATTGACAAAAAAGTCAAGAAATGTTTTTTCCACCCCTACCCCCATCATTATGTGATCAAAGGTTTGTTTTTCCTTTGAAACAAGGTTTCTATGAAAATAACCTTCAGGAACAAAAACCAGGAAAAATTCTTTTTTCCAGTAATTTAATTTCCTACACTAAATTAGATTTCAAGAGGACAGACTTTCTCTTGATGGATCCAGACCTTCTTTTAGTTTGGGTCCAGATCAGCCTTATCCAGTGTTTCTAAACTCCTTTGTACTTTGAAAAATTTAAACATATGGACTTTTAAAATCACTTGATGTAAGTAATTTAAATCACCTACAACCAAGTTTTTAACTTTGATTCAGAAGTTTAACCCCTGTAGGAAATTATGTCCATTTATAAATTATGTCAAATATTTGCCATAGATTGATGTTTATTAGATATAAACACATTGTATTGGGAGCAGATCTGTAAATTTACATGTTTTCTTTCAATGATTCCTCCCTCTGGCCCCCCCCCCCCCCCCGAACACTCCTTTGAATACTGCGTGTCTTAACTTTTTAAGATTATTTGGAAAAATGAAGTCTCAACTGTCCCCAGGGAAATTAAGTGGAATCCAACCAGGATCTATTAAGATGTCAGAGTAATTAATAATTTTATCAGAAAAATTATGTTTTAAATTTCAAAAGGACACTTATTTGTTGAGTAATACAATCTGATCTTTGGAAAATTTCAAAAACAATCCTACTTACAAACTACTTTTTTATAGTTTTCAGAAAAAAACGTTTACAGTCTTAAGGAAAAATTCAGGTCTATCATGGTTTGACAGATTTTTTAAGAGTTATTTTTGGTAAGGCCTTCTTTTAGAAAAAAAAATCTCAAGGGTTTTTTGTACCACTATAATCTCTAATACTTATTCAGAATTACTGTGTATTTACTTAATTTCTTCTTATGTGCCTTATTATGTGCTTAAGATACAATAGGTTAGAATTTTATCTAAATATCTTGAAAGCTATATTGTGGGCTTGGTGAGCATTTCGGGTTTCTTTTTTTCCCTTTTTTGGTAAAGATTTTAAAGGGTTTTTTATTGCAATTTTAAATGCTTTTCAATAAGTAATAGTTTTTATTCAAATTTTTGGTGCTTTGGTGTAGAGACGGGCTGGGGAAGAGTGAGTGGTGGGGGAATAACTCAGTGCATACCTGTAGGCCTCTTTCCATTGTGACTGATCGCGGTTATTGCCAGTGTCACACACCAGTCTGGGGCTTTAGACTTCAATCTCGGTTTCCAGATCATGTCTCATTTTTATTACCCATCAGAATTTGTCTCAGGGTTACTTGGTTCTTCTCTGTACTCAAGTGAGAACTTGCTTTCCTTTCTTAATGTAACTTCATTACTGAATGTCCACATATTTGGAGTGTGAAAAGGTTGGCTGTTTCTCATACTCTGAACCTTTGTCTCTCTTTGGTTGAATGTAATAGTACATTTATTGGTTCAGTGATTGTGTGATGTCAAATTGTTTCTTTTTTAAGAAGAAACTTTGCTTTTGTAAATTATTCCTTTTTTTTTTTGAAGCAGAATTTGTCAAAGGGGTCACTTTTGTCCACCCCTTTTATACTTTTTTCAGAGTGACTCATCTCAACTTTTAATATAATACCAATTTTTTTTTTCTGTTTTCCCACCATTAATTTGAACATAGGTTTTTACAAAACAAATTTTTACAAAACAAGGCTGCAAAAGATCTTAGAGATTGTTTAAAAGCAGAATAAGACACTAAGTTGTGACCTTGTGACCTTTCGGATCCATCAATTTAGTGTTAACTGGATACAGTATATTAATTGGTCTAGATGGAGGTTTTTTTTTTTCCCCCACTTATAAAATATACTTTTACCTAAACACTGAGTCGGAAAGAGGAAACAGTTTCTTTGAGAAATCTCCCCAACTTTGCTCAGTTTTACACTGGCACTATTATAATTTTCAGTGGCATGTTAAATTGGACTATTTCATTTACTTTGAGTTAGAAATTACTGTATAATTTTTGATTCGTGATTCTAGTAACATCCAGCGTAAGTGTAGCAAGTTACCTATAGCAGAAAGGAGATCATAATGGTGTTGAATGTAATTTTGAAGTAGGGAATGGCCTTTTAAATCAGAGAGAACATTTGAATCCTCTTCAGGGATTTGTGTAGATACTTGTGTGCGTGCGTGCGTGTGTGTAACAGATAAGTGTATACACAACATACACTCTTCTGATGTTGTATATACATATGCACATTACATACATTTTAATTTATTGACAAAGAAAACTTAACCAAATTAAGATTTGGAGAAGTGGCATATTCTTATTTTAAAAGAGCATGTTTGAAGCCATCGGTTTGTGTCTAAAATTAGCTGTAGCACATGGATGTTGTCCATTTTGAGCTATTTGCTCTTTGAATTATAGAGGTCTACAGTATTTGTGTTGGTGTAGTTTTTGTAAAAAGACTCAGAAAAAAAAATCAGGGTGGTGGAAAAACTAGATCTGTGTATTGTTTTGGCATGCATTTATTCCATATCTTCTAAGCAATGGTTTAAACTCGGTCTTTTAAGTTTATTTACTTTAAGGAGTATTATCATATCACTTTTCAAAATATCTTAACTTTTACACAACATATATATATATCTTCAGGACTGTAAAAAATAGCAGTACACATTTAACAGTAGCTATTCATGCCTAAATGTTTTACTTTGAGATTGGAATAACTTGCATAGCAGTAAGTATCATACATTCTTTAAGACAAAATATTACAATTATAATCAGTTATTTGTAGCAACGCTTCTGCTTTTGCTGTTGGAAGTTGCAGAGCTCACAGTTTGGAGATGCCGTGTTTGCTTGCCCTGCAGGCTTCTCCTTTTGGCCAGATTTGCCTGGCAAACCTGTGGGGTTTGCTTCAGTTGAAGAAGTAGCGCTTAAGAGTCTGTATGTTCAGTTTCATAGAAAGTTTTCAAAGTCTCCATGACATCAGACAGCAGCATTTATAGATTCAGTTTCTCTCTTGTTCCCATTTAATGTTTTTGGGCAGAAGTGTGGTTCCTCCCCTTCCCCTAGCCGAGTTCTCAGCCTATCTCTTAGAAAACCTAATGTGTACTGCTATTTTTCAAACCAAAAAGAGAACATGACTAAGCGTAAAACATTCTTCTTAGCCTTTCCTATGTCTTGATCTATTGTTAACAGGAATAAAACTGCCAGAGTTAAAATATTCTATTGTGCTAAAGAAAATAACAATTCAGATTGCACAATTTTAAACAATAACTCAGCTGTCTTTTGAAAGATTTGTGTTGTTGTCTACAAGACTATTTGCAGTCTTTTTTCAGAGCAAATTCTTAACAGCTAGTTGTAAATGGTTTAAAAAATAGAAAGTTACTCATCTTAGTTTTGGGGTTTTATAGAGAGAAAAACAAAACAGGACCAAAGTTTATGTGCCTTCTTCAGTAGTCTTAATTGACCTTTTCTTCCTATTTGAGACTTAGGTAGTATCAGTATTCTGGTTTTCAGGAAATATGTACTATACAGTTTTAAAAGAACACGGTCCCACAAACTGTTCATACAAGCAAAGCATTATAACTGTGTAAATGAAGCCTCAGTTACACTTTCGCCTTCAGCGCATGACATTCATCACAGAGCATCGTTCCCATCCGAGAACAGAGCCAGCTGCTCTCAGTCTTTGTGGTAGTCTCACCTTCGTTTCTGAAACCTGAGGCTTGTGTTCAGAGAACAGGGATATTTATCTGGTCCAGTGACCTTGGTGATAACAGTCATGATTGAAAGCTGCTTGTGGCAAGCTTAAGTCAGCATTGTCAGCAGATTTTTGTTGTTAATTGTTACATTATTTTCTTGGATCTATGGAGTAGTTGTAATAACAAATATTTAAATAGCTATTTTTTTATGTCATTAAAAAAATCATACTCTGGCCTTTTTCTTTTCTCCCCTTACCATTGTTACCCAGATCTTTTAAAATTCCATCCCAAGTCCAGAAAATACTTATAAAGATTGCTGACCAAGCAAAAGTTTTGCATCAAAATGTCACCTCATTGCTCTGACCAAAGACTGACTCTTCTGGTTGTAACTCCTCTCTGCAAAGCATTTCCCCAACCTCCTTTCTGAAAGAAGACCCAAGGCAGAGTGGCCTTTCCTTTCTGTTTCCTATTGATGAATAGACTACTTGGAGAAAAAGGGAGTTTAAATGTGAACAGAATGTTTAGGATGGCAAGGTTTGATGGGCATTTTCAGTACTGTATTTAAGAAAAAAAATAGCACAGCTAGGAGCCTCTGACACTGTCTCATGTTTTATGTGGTCTGTCCATAAAATTCCCTTTTTTGGTTTATAAGAATGTTCATCTAACAGAAAAAAAAGTGCTGTAAATATTTATAACAAATTTTTTTTAAGCCAGGCCAAAAAAAGAGAAAGAGGTTTTTGGGAACAAGTTAACATATAAAGTGGTTTTATATAAAACATCAATTGTCTTGTATATTTTGATAAGCATCAGTACCAGCTTTCATTTGTAACACGGTTTGTGGCGTTGGAAGAAAAGGATTCTGTGATTGTTGAAGTGAATTGTTATAAATGCAAAGAGATGATAAAATATTAAAAAACATATTTTCTAAATGCGTAGTGCATGGTTAATTCAAGCTTCTGTACACTACAGTATATTCCATTTTCATTCAGTTTGTATATTTGCTATTACTTGATATCTCTAATATCTCTTTTCCTAATAGGTAAAGCATTGTAGCATGCCTTTTAATAAATGTCATGACATCTGTACTCTCTTAAAATTTTTCTGTGTTCTTGTCTATACTTTGGGTTTCCTCTTGTCTTACCTGTAATTCTAATGATGTCATATTTTCTTTCTTTTCCATAGCCATCCATCTAAATTTGTCATCGAGAATAGCAAACACATGTTACAAACAGGGAAGGAGGAGGGGGGTATGCAAGGGAGGAGGAATCTACTAACTACCTCTTTTAATTTAGGGATAATTTTCCCATTAGCACAAATCCATGTTAGCATGCTTGCTTGGCCTGCTTGTTCTCCTTCTTTCTTTCTCTATATGTATGTTGCCAAGCTAGAGTTGGAATAGTTTCCAGTTGAGTTCAGTTTTTGTCTTGCCCGTGGAATTGGTATACATCCACTTTGAGACATAAGATGTGACCTCAAACTGAGTTTGTGTCCTTTTAATTAAAGGGTAATACAGCTACCAGCTTAGGCTGTATGTTGTTTTTCCTTACACAAATGTTTTTGCTTCTCCGTTCTTTGAAGAATTGATGGATCAGAGGGGTTTAAGCAATCCTAGTTAACCTTTTACTCTAGGATCTCTTGGATGTGAAAATTAATTTCTAGTGGAACAGAAAATTTGGTAGTCACTATTGATGCATAACCTCTGTAAATGTCACTAGATAAATATTTATTTTAGCATAGAGGCATTTTTTATCAGGAAAAGATAGAATGATCACAATAAGCCAAATGAGGCTTAGCTAAATTTGATCGGTTGTGAACTGCTTCTTTGCACTGCTTCTAACCCTCATTAAGAGGCATGCAGTTTTGAGCATAAAGGGATGTAAGAGACCAGCTAGTTCACTTTCCAATTAATTTCAGCCTCCAGCCTAGAACCTAGGTCTCTGACTTTAGTGCCTTCTGTTGGCACCCAGATGTTGCAGTCCTGTGATACCAAGCGCTGCTGATGTCATGGTTCTGTAGGCCTGTACACACTAATGGGAAGCTTATGTGTTCTGAAAACTATAACAAGCAATTTACTCGTTCAAGACACTGAATCTGTGGTGGGAGTGTTCTCTGCCTAAGGACAAAAATACCTTACCTACGTAGCAAACAAACTAAAATTGTAGTGTCATGTTGTATGTTTGGGAAAACTTGAAAAATGTTAAGTGTATCTTGCATTTCTCACAGTGATAGAGGCTTTCCTTGGGTCACAGACACCATCTTCTCCCCCATGCTCTCGGATGGTCTTGCCTCTGTGTGTGTATGTGTGTGTCCTAATCTCTTAGTGGACATGATCCTTGATTGAATTAGGATCTGTATATGATCTCCTTTTACTTTACTTACTTTACTTTAAAGGCCCTAGCTTCCTGAAAATACAGTCAATATTATGAGATACTTGGGATTGGAATTTAAACACGAATTTGGGGGTAAAGGACCCACAGTTTCATTCCACAGCCCTACTTAATACAAATTACTCAGGGCCCACATTGTGGTACAGTATGTTAAGCCACAACCTACAGTGCTGGCTTTCTGTATGGATGCCAGTTTGTGTCCCTGCTGATCCAGCTCCCTCTAAAGCACAGGGAAAGCAGCAGCAGATGATGGCCCAGGTGTTTGGTCCCCTGCCACCCATGTGGAAGACCTGGATGAAGCTCCTGGCTCCTGGCTTTGGCCTGGTCCAGCCCTGGCCTTCCTGGCCATTGGGGGAGTGAACCAGCAGATTGGAAGATATCCCTCCTCTCTAACTCCACCTTGCAAATGAAGTAAATTAAAAGGAAGGAAGGAAAGAAGGAAAGAAATTGCCCAAGGGCAGGATTGTAGCTCAGCAGATTTAGCTGCCACTTGGGACACCCACATCTCATGTTGGGTTGCCTGGGCTGTAGCACTTGGGAGGTAGGTGATGATGGTCCATGGGCTTGGGTTCCTGACACTCACGTGGGAGGCTGGTGGACAATACCTCTCTCCCTTTCAAATAAAGACAATTTTTATTTATTTACTTATTTATTCTTAGTTATTTTTTTGAAAAAAAATTCTTGGGTAGGGGCCCAAGAATTTGGGCCATCTTCTGCTTTCCCAGGCCATAGCAGAGAACTGGATGGGAAGTGGAGCAGCCAGGACTCAACTGGCACTAATATGGGATGTGGCGCTGCAGCCAGTGGCTTTACTTACTAAGCCACAGCGCCAGGCATCCCACCCCCCCCCCTTTTTTTTTTATTTAAAAGTAAGATTTATTTAAATCAGAGACCTCCAGCCAGAGTAGCTTGGATGGGGGCTCCAAGAGGGGAAAAACCTGAAGGGGCTGGTGGTATTTGACAATCAAGTTGGCATTCATCTACAAGACAAAAAACAAGTTGCTTTTTAAAAAATTTATTGAACTCACCAAATACTGATAGTACCAGCAGTTGAGCTAGATGTTGGGAAAAATATGAAGAGTTAAGGACATGGTGATTTACCCTTTAGAAGTATGTAATGTAAATCCTAAATCCATAAATCAAATAGTTCTGAACTCATTTCAATAGGAAGTTTCCAAAATGGGTTATGAAGTCTTTCTAGGTGATTCTAGTCAGAATAAATATGGCTGAAATGTTGCTGCAACTAATTAGGAATATATAGGAAAACACCCTGTGGTATTTACACTCATCTCTTACAAATAAGTATTGCACAGTAATGATTTTTTTTTTTAAGGTTTATTTATCTATTTGAGAGGCAGAGTTACAGACAGGTGGAGGCAAAGAGCGGTCTTCATCTGCTAGTTCACTCCCAGATGGCTGTAACGGCTGGTGCTGCACCAATCTGGAGCCAGGAGCCTCCTACGGGTCTCCCATGAGGGTACAGTCGCCCAAGGACTTGGGCCATCTTCCACTGCTTTCCCAGGTCATAGCTGAGAGCTGGAAAGGAAGTGGAGCAGCCAGGACTCGAACCAGCACCCATGTGGGATGCCAGCACTGCAGGTGGCATCTTCACCCACAATGCCATAGCGCCAGCATTGGTAATGATCTTTTTTTTTTTTTTTTCAGATTTATTTATTTGAAAGAGTTAACACAGAGAAGGAGAGGCAGAAAGGTCTTCCATCCGCTGGTTCAGTCCCCAGTTGGCCGCAACGGCTGGAGCTGTGCTGATCTGAAGCCAGGAGCTTCTTCCAGGTCTCCCATGTAGGTGCAGGGGCCCAAGGACCTAGGCCATCTTCTGTTGCTTTCCCAGGCCATAGCAGAGAGCTGGATAGGAAGTAGAGCAGCTGGGACTCTAACTGGCGCCCATCTGGATGCCGGCATTGCAGGCAGCGGCTTTACCCGCTATGCCACAGCACCGGCCCCGAGTAATGATTATTTCTAAAACAAATGCTGTTACTAAAACAGTTGAAGAGGACTCTGTCAAACAAGCTGTGTCCAGCGTTTGTTGGTAATTGAAGTGGGATGTTGGCTTAAGTACAGTTAGAAGTGTTAAACCCACTCTGGTAACAATATGTGTGATTGTTCCCATGTCACCACTTTTTTCCTGTAGCCTATTTCAGCTCTAATGGGGACCATCATTTGCTGTAGGTGTTCCCATCAGACGGTTTATACTGACGTGATAAAATTTGAGTAACAATTTTGCCAGACTTACTGCATTCCTGTATCATTGAGTTTCAATGTTGAATTCCCAGTTCTAGTTTAGAGTGTAATTACCTAGAAAAAGTTAATCATTCTAATGTTCCATGAATATTCATATTTTGTTTCATCTCTGTGTTCTAAGAATATAGACAAGGTAATAGGAAAAGCCTACTTAATCATTCTGCTGAAGTAAATTGCCCTCTGTTAGATTAAGTCCCCTGGGTCGTTCTTTGCCTAGGGTTACAGAGTTATTTGTTAAGTCCATAAACCCACAGAATGCAAATGTCAAATTCTAACCTGTGAAGAGGTTGTCTCTAACCATAAGAACACTGATATTAACTACATTAATGTGAGTCAGAACACTTGCAAAAGGACATCATTAGAAATGAAGAGAGATTTCATGATACACAGTGTTTATATAATAAAGCATAGGAATGCATATGGACAAAGTAAAGCTAATACGTGGAAGAATCAAACAGCTGTGATATTGAACAAAAATCCATAAGCAAGAGTTTACATAATGTATGTAATTTTATTATATCGAGTTCAGAAGCTGGATCCTTTCCTTTGGGGATGAGGAGGATGGTAATTGAAAGAGGGTATGAGGAGGAGTTTCTGGTGTCCCGTTACTGTTTGATTTGTTAACCTTTGTGCCAGTTAACCAGAAGTGTCTCCTTTCAGGTCATTCATTGAGCTTGTACACAGGATTTGTGCATTTGTGTATTATAATTCAGTTAATAAGATTGTCTATTATAATCGAACAAGAAGCTATAAACCAATCCCTAGGCTTTGTAAGTCAGTACATTATTCTATCCCATATAAAAGACCCTGTTAATTAACACATTTTAGGTTTGTTTTTGCAAAGCCTGATCTAGTGGGCTAATACATTTCTATCAAGAGAAGCTGGAGGGGCCATCGCTGTGCCACAGCAGGTTAATCCTCCGCCTGTGGTGCCAGCATCCCACATGGGCACCGGTTCTAGTCCCAGCTGCTCCTCTTCCACCTTCCTGCTAATGTGCCTGGGAGACAAACAAATGATGTCCCAAGTACTTGATCCTCTGCCACCCATGTGGGAGAACCAGATGGAGTTTCTGGCCTTGGCTTCAGCCTGGGCCAGTCCTGGCTGATGCGGCCATTTGGGGAGTGAACCACTGGATGGAAGATTTTCTCCCCCTCTCTCTCTTTCTCTGTCTCTCTCTCTCTCACTCTCCCTGTCTCCTGTCTCTGTCACTTTGCCTTTCAAAGAAGTAAATAAATTTTTTGACGTTTTATTTATTTATTTGACAGGTAGAGTTAAACAGTGAGAGAGAGAGAAAGGTCTTCCTTCTGTTGGTTCACCCCCCAAATGGCCGCTACGGCCGGAGCTGTGCCAACCCGAAACCAGGAGCCAGGTGCTTCCTCCTGGTCTCCCATATGGGTGCAGGTGCCCAAGCACCTGGGCCATCCTCCACTGCCTTCCCAGGCCACAGCA